TATATATATATATATAAAATTTATATATATATATATATATATATATATATATATATTTATTTTTACTTTTGAAATTTAATAATAATCATACTAATTCAATAACATTTTTTAAACATTTGCTTTCAGATTGATAATGATACAAGTTTTGTTTTTTGATTTAGATTCTGTATTTCAATGATATCCTGGCTTATCGATACGACATGCTGTAAATCCACTCACACACATAATTTTTACTCACACACGTAAATCCTGTAAATTCACTCACACACAAATCTTAAAAAAGATGTTTATATTTTTATCTATAAATTGTAAATTTTATATAAATAAATTGTAAACTTTTTATGTTTTTTATTGTATATCACTATTTGTATTAAAAATTGACTTTGGAAATATTGCAAGTGCAGAGTTTAACATACAATTTTGTTTTATTTGCAAATTCAATATACATTATAACCAAGTTTAATCACGTTTAATAATATTTGCGGTATTTTCTCCAGCGCATTCAAGCGTTGGTTTAACGTTATATTTCAACCTTTACTCGACGTCTTTGAGTCACGTTAAATCTACGTTTACTACCAACGTTACGAATCCTTGCAAAATCAACTGCTTTAACAGCGTTAAAGTAACGCTTTTTAAATAACGTTTTTTCAACGTTAAGTTGCGGCGCCTATGCAACGCTTTTTAAATAACGCTTTTTCAACGTTTAGATGAGACATTTTTGTAACGTCTTTTAGTAACGTTTTTTCAACGTTACGCTACAACGTTTAATTAACGTCTCTTTAACAACGTCACATATCTTTGCAAAATCGATTACTTTGTCAACGTTTCCACAACATCTTTTGCGACCGGTTTTCAACGTTGATTCAACGCTGACATGTTTGCTGGGTTGTTTTAAGATTTCTTTAAATTTATTTTTGTATTAACTAAACATTTCTTATAATATTTTTTAAAATGTAATTAGGAGTAACTGCCATAATTAAGTTTAAATGATTGATAAAATCTTGATTCAATAATTGCAATTAATAGACTCTTATTACACAGTTACTAAAACTTCAGTTTGTATTTTTTCAGTAGTTTAATTATTAGGCTATTATTAAAAATTTTATTTATAATAATAACTTTTTAGATAAAAAATTAATTCAACGCCATAAATAAAAAATATCTGCGTTTACTTTAGAAGTTAGGTAGAGTTTTTTTTTTTTTTTTTTACATTGTAATATATATATAAATATATATATTTATATATATATATATATAAATATATATATATATATATATATATATATATATATATATATATATATATATATATATATATATATATATATATATATATATATATATATATATATATATATATATATATATATATATATATATATATATATATATATATATATATATATATATATATATATATATATATATATATATATATATATATATATAGTAAAAACATTATCTAAATATTATTGGTTTAATTTAATATTTAGTGTCAATTTATGGTATTTTAAAGTAGTTTCTAGGCTTGTTGAAACAAGTCCTTTATTCCACTCAGGCTTTCTAGTAGGCGTTGCAAGAAATTAGAGCTGACAAGTTTTTGTATTCAATAAGAAGTGGTGACTTTCTGTCTTTTTACATTTTACCTATATACGATTTGATTATTATGTGCTAAAAAAGATTTTGAACTGAACGGACGTGCTTCTTTTTTAAGGCGTGGAATGACTTTTTAATTTAAAAAGGTTAATTTTCAAGATCGAAGTTTTTGATAGTAGTTTAATAATTAAACTACTGAAAAAAAATACAAACTCATACATTTTAGTAACAGTGAAATAATATATTAATAATCATAACAATTGAATTAAGTATATATTATAGCAGTTACTTGAGTTGATATTAAAATAATGTTAAAAGAAATGTTTAGTGAATACAAAAATAAAGATTTTTTAGATTTTGTAGAAATCTTAAAGCCACAAGAAATAAACATTAAAGCTTTTGTAAGTTCAAGCGCAAAAATAATTCATGACCGCTTCGACAAAGTTAAAAAAAAAAAAACGACAATACCGAACGAGTTAATTTAATAACAAAGGTGTTGAAGAAACGAAATTAATCTTGAATTTTCATGAACAGCTTATTGATGATAAAATAAAAATTGCAATTAGTAGACAAGAAAACATAAATCCATCTGTCAGTGAAATAACTAAAGTTAACTCGGAATTCATTAATATAAAACACAAGTTAAGGGAAATGGAAGATCGTTCTAGACGAAATAACTTAAGAGTAGGTGGTGTGAAAGAAAATAAAAATGAAAGCTAGGAAGAGACCGAATTAAAGGTAAAAATATTAATTGAAAATTATAAGGATGTAAATAAAGTGAAATAAGAACGAGCACACAGAGCTGCGAAAAATGATGCAAAAAAGCCAAGCAAATGTCGTGCTTAAACTTTTGGATTTCAAAGATAAAAGAGAACTTTCTAAAAAATAACTATAATTTGGCTTGAACAGATACAGATACTTTGTTACATATGGTACATAGTATTTCCACAACGTCCACGAAAAACAGTTTATTTCTTGGATTTCAGTTTTCAACATTAAATTGGTGATTTTATATCAGTTTTCATTTTCCTAGGTGAGATGCTTTTATCACTAAGGAGCCATGCCGAGGCTCCTTAGCCAAATAGATTTGTTATCGGTACGCAATAGCGATTACATTATTTGCAAATATACTTTTTTTTCTTTTAATATTTTTGAATGCATTTGAAAAAAATAACAGCTAATGTAATTCAACATTTTTTAGATCAACTATTGAAACACGCTTGGTGAGCAGTCACCTTTGCACCTAGTAAGTTATTGTATGAACAAGTTAATGAAACAACAAATTTCATTAATTTTTAAAGTATGTTTTTCTGTCAATTAAACCTTGAAGCTGATTAACCAGCTACATGGTTTGTAGAAGGAAAAATTATTTAAGATAATTATTTAATAACTGATAATAATATTTATTAAAGATTTGATTAATTATTTTTTAGCTAAATTTGAAACATTCTTTATTCCCAACAGAAATTAGTGATTAGTAACGTGCTAAAATATTTTTAATTTTTGTTTTAGTAATTATTTTTTGTTTTAGTTTTCTAATAATTTAAAAACAAATTACTCTATGGTATAAAAACACGCTTGCAATTAAAGATACCAGATGTGTTATTATTTTTAAAACATTGAGTTTAACATTTAAAAAAAGTTTATTAGTTAAATCTTTTTTAACTTATCTTTACATTAGTATGGAACCAATTATGTTTCTAGAAGACAAAAAGCAGCTTAAAAACAATTATTTAGAACTACTTTACTAATACTTAGTTCACCCTACTAATTAGTAGAGTTTCAGAATTGGAGAGTTATGACATAATAAACTTTTTTTAAATTGATAAACTCATTTTTAAAACTCAAAAGTTTAAAACTGAAAATGTTTTGTTAACAACAAAAGGTAATATTTAAGAAGAAAAACAAACAAACAGTAATATTTAAGAAGAAAAAACAAACAAACAGTGTTTCAGGTTAAAGTTGATTGTTTAATAAGAAGAAGTACGATATATTGACAGAAGAAATAAAGCTTACATAAGATTTTTTAGATTTCAGTATAAAAGAAAGTAGGTGAATAAAACGAGATTGTTTTTGGTGAAAGAAAACAAAGTGAAAAGATTGTTTGATCAAACTTTGCCACATAAGGTAATCCAAGTTAAGTTTTTTTCTAGTATTAAAAAATTTAAATAATTTTTTAAAATATGATGAAAATGTACTTTTATGAAACTTGCCAAAAATCATAAAAATTTATTTAGTTTTTTCTATTCCGAATGTTTTTTTTACTGTTCTATATTTTTTTTTATCATTTTTAAATTTTTTTTCATTTAATCTTGTTTGTTTAATTTACTTTTTATTTATTTTCATATTATATTTTTATTGTTTATTCATGTTTCAGCGCATTGGAGTGTAAATACATAGACTGATTAGAGAGAGCATGCAGGGAGTGTTTACACTTCTATTGATAGTGTGGGCTTGGGAAGGGTTAGAGGTTGATGCAGAAAAGTATACATCGACTAATTAAGGTTTTGGAAGGGGCAGTAGCCTATTAAGTTAAACAAAATAAATTGAATTTTTAAGCTATTTTCTTGTCTTTTATTTAAACTTAAAATAAAACGCCTAATGTGATATTTTTTAGAAAAATTTAATGTCGACAAACAGATTTAATATATTTATGCAAGTATTTTTTTTTTAACTAGTAATAAAATTTTAAATTATCGATTGCATGGTGAGCACACAGAGAATCTATTTTTTCTCTCCATTCCTATTTAAACTGCATTTTGTTTATCTTTTATTATAGATAATATCTCAGTGTTTAAACCAAGTTTCGCTCAACTTTGGTTAACTGCAACACCTGATTTAGAGTTTAAACCTTTTTTTTCTTCGGCGTTGCAGAAACACTAAAGCACCCTGTTAAAAAAATTTCATTTACTTTATATCTTGTTGGAGTATGCAATAAGGTTCTGGGTTTAATTATTAGAACACGGTATATATCAAGCCTCAAGGTAAAAATATAACTAAGGAGAAAGAAAACTACATATCTCTACATATCCACTACCCAGCAAACATGTCAGCGTTGAATCAACGTTGAAAACCGGTCGCAAAAGATGTTGCGGAAACGTTGACAAAGTAATCGATTTTGCAAAGATATGTAACGTTGCTTAAGAGACGTTGACTAAACGTTGTAGCGTAACGTTAAAAAAACGTTACAAAAAGACGTTACAAAAATGTCGCAACTAAACGTTGAAAAAGTGTTACTTAAAAAGCGTTGCAAAGGCATCGCAATTTAACGTTGAAAAAAAGTTACTTGAAAAGCGTTACTGTAACGTTGTTAAAGCAGTCGATTTTGCAACGGTTTTTAACGTTGGCAGTAAAACGTCGATTTAACGTGACTCAAAGACGTCGAGTAAAGGTTTAAATATAACGTTGAATCAACGTTTAAATGCGCTAGAGAAAATATCGCAAAATGTAATTAAACTATGCTATGATATATATTGAATTGTCAAATAAAACAAAATTGTATGTTGAGCTCTGTACTTGTAATATATCTAAAAACGATTTTCAATACAAACAGTAATATGCAATAAATAATTAAAAAATATACAATTTATTTATATAAAATATACAATTTATAGATATATAGATAAAAATATAAACATATTTTTAAAGATTTATGTGTGTGAGTGGATTACCAGGATATCGATTCGATAGGTCAGGATATCATTTAGATACAGAATCTAAATCAAAAAATAAAACTTGTATCATTAGCAGTCTGATAGCAAATGTTTAAAACAATGTTCTTGAATTAGAATGATCATTATTAAATTTAAAAAATGAAAATATATATATATATATATATATATATATATATATATATAATATATGTATATATATATATATATATATATATATATACACGCACGTCATGATCATCATCATAATCATGATCATCATCATTATCTCTATTATCATCATCATCACCATTAGGCTTTAGCCTTATTCTTTTAAGCTGTTTTCCTAATATAAATAATCTAGTACACTTCTATTCCTAACTAAAGCTCATTTATACAATATGTAAGGTAAACTCTTCGAATTTTCTTACTTTTATACATTTTATACTGAAGTTGCTACCACTCTACATGTTGATACTTAAATTACTTAAATCTTTTTTAAAAAAAAATCTGTCTAAGATTATGCCTGCTTTTTATGTCCTGTTAGAGTCACACCACACATCCATCTGATCATCTTCTCTTTTGGCAAATACTACACCATATAAATACTCAAGTTTATATAGCAATGAAAGGATATTGTATGTAAGCATCTAAATAAATAGCAAACAGATGTGATTATATCCGTAATGTGTGTGCGAAAATTGCATCTTGGATTCTTATATTGCTTCTGGAATAAAAGTTTGGAAGCTTTTATTACTTCTTTTTAAGTCAGTTTTAAGTCAAGCCACATTCTACTCTATATCTTTCAACATTAATCACTTTTTTCATCTTTTTTATAAGAACATCTCTCTTAAGAACAAATTATCCTTTTTATTATTACAATAAGCAAATGTCTTGTCTGATGTAAATCTCTTATTCTCAATTTACTAAACCTTGTATCTTTTCTTAAATGTTAGGTTTTAGAGACTTTTGGTTAGTTTTCAACAGTGTTTTTAACGTTGGCAGTAAACCGTCGTAAGTCTAATGTTTATTCTCTAAATCATGGGCCTGATCTTTTTACTTTACCCCAGAGTAAAGCAAAGCTATTTACAAAGAAATCTTACTATCATTTTCTCTCGATTATAATGGACATAATCTTCCCGACAGTTTAACCGAATAATCCATTGTTAAGCATCTTAATTACTCTGGCTTCCAATACTAAAATTAATTCTCAATTAAACACTTCTACCATTTGTGCTTCAGACAAGATTTCCATCATAGTCTTAAAAAAGTGTTCTTCAGAACTCTTAACAATTTTTGCTAAGCTTTTCAAAAGTGCTAAATACATGGTTCAAATTTTTTAAAACTCAAGAAAACACCTTGACCTCTGCAAGTATTCTACAATTTTTCTTCACTCTGTTATCAGTTTCTTATAATTTTCTATGTAAAAGTTTTGAGGTTATTAAATTATTTCTTTCTAACTGCAGTAGTAAACTTATTCTTGAAGGCCTACCCTCTTTTTTATTTCAAGTAACTTTAAGAGAACCACATGGTTCTATATTTGCTCCTATAATATTTTTTATCTACAATAACAATCATAATGAAATCTAAAGTGACTAAATTTGTTCATGAATCCACTTTACACTCTTGTCTTGACAAAAAATCATCTTTAATTGCTTAGAACAAGCAGCCAATTTTAAATCTGACCTCTCTTCTGTAACAGCCTAAGGCTTGCTGTGGCTTATGGATTAAAATTCTGGACTTAAAATCCACAATTTTTGTTATACAACAAAACTCATTTATCAACTGCAAAAAAAATATTACAATAATGTTGGCATTCCTATATTGACAAATAACAACCCTCTTACTCTCAGACAAAGTCTAAAATCACATTGTAAATGTAATAAGATCAGCTTTATCTGCCAAGGTTGAGCCACTCTCCCATTGTTATAAGGTTGCATTTATTTCTTTTTTCTACAAATACAATCATAGTCAATGCTTAAACAAACTCTCATCTCTATAACGATAAACCAAAACTCATTCTCAATTGGCCATTTATTCAACAAGTTGCATCCTTTAACTGCATTTGTTCCTTCATGCTATAAAATCTTTTTACAGCATGATAAATAATTCAATTTTTTTCATTGATCATCAAAAAATTTTTATAACTGTTACAAAACTTCATATTTTCCTTTTTTATAAAACTTACACCTTTTATGTTTTTAGTTATAGGTTTCCTAGTATTATAATTGGTTCTTTATTTGAAAGTAACTCATTACTTAATAGTGGTTGCTTGCAATCTTGTTGGAAGTAAATTAGATTTTAAAATATACAAATATATGCCAGTATTTATTAAATAGTAAATGCAAGCATAAAATTATAATATATTAGGCATTACAAACTTTTAAATGCTAAACCTTATAATTTTGGCGGGGCCGGGTTTGCAAAAAGTCTAATTTTTAGCTGGGGCCAAGGCCCATTTTCAAAAGATTATTTTACAATTATAAAACTCAATGCCAAATCGTCTAGCTGAGACCATCAAGGCCAAAGGATGCCCACTTGATACTAAATTTCATGAAGTTTGATCAATTGAACATTATTTTTGAACTGTACAATTTTTTTTTTTGCAGTCAATTATATGCATCATTAAATCAATTGTGTGAAATTTAATAGGTATGAAAAGCAATTAACTCACAAATACACAAATAAATTCTTAAAACAAAATATGCTAAGATATCTAAAAAAACTTTTAAATATTTTAATCTAATAATGCAATCTTTAAAATTACGATTTTTTTTCAAGTGTACGATTATTTTTTTTACATACTGTATATATATATATATATATTTTACAACTAAAAATAGTCATATATCCATACATTAATTACCTAAACAAAGCTTACTTCAATAGGTGTAACTATAAATTATAAATTTAAATTATAATACAAACTTTGTTCATAAGATCGAAACCAGTTAAAACCATATTATTCCTCGATCCTTATCCACCAAAACTTCACTAAATAAAATTACACTAGTAATCAAACTACCACAAGTCAAATAATTTAGAAAGTAATATTAAAATTAGCTTTGACCAATAGTTAATATAGGTGTTATTTTATTCTTTACCATATAAAAAACAAAGAAAAGTTAAATCAAAAGAGAAACAAAAGTATTCACAAACATAATTACTTACATTTTTTGGAGTACTCTGTAGTTGGGAAATTAAATCCTTCGCATACTTCTTTATCTATTAGTAATTATTTAGTAAAATAAATATAAACAAAAATATGTAAAAACTAAAATGTATAATAAGTGTAAAAAGATTACAATATATATCTAGGCAATAATAATACCATAAACAGATTCAAAATATTACTTATTGGAAAAAAAAAACTAGTTTTTTTTGGTATAGTACTTCAACGTTAATATAAAACTGTAATAGTTTTTTTAATCATATAAAACAGTTAAATTAGCAATCAGTATTGTAAAATTTAATGACCTCCAGTTACCTTAACTCTTTTAAGTCTGAGCTTGTTGCAGAAATCATCGATTGGAAAATGATTATAGGCAGTTTTCATTGCATGAACACCAGTTGGACAAAATAAACATCCATCTTTCACCTAACAAGATGGAATAAATGCCTCTGCTTCAACCCTGTTTAAAAAAAAAAAAAAAAAATCCCAAGATTGTAAAGCCATTATAATCGATTCTCTAAACAGGCAGCTTTTTTTTAATTTACATATATACATATATATATATATATATATATATATATATATATATATATATATATATATATATATATATATATATATATATATATATATATATATATATATATATATATATATATATATATATGTATATATGTAAATTAAAAAAAAGCTGCCTGTTTAGAGAATCGATTATAATGGCTTTACAATCTTGGGATTTTTTTTTTTTTTTTTTTAAACAGGGTTGAAGCAGAGGCATTTATTCCATCTTGTTAGGTGAAAGATGGATGTTTATTTTGTCCAACTGGTGTTCATGCAATGAAAACTGCCTATAATCATTTTCCAATCGATGATTTCTGCAACAAGCTCAGATATATATATATATATATATATATATATATATATATATATATATATATATATATATATATATATATACATATATATATATATATATATATATATATATATATATATATATATATATATATATATATATATATATATATATACATATATAATTGTTAGAATTTAAAATACAACAGTAACTCTATAATTAAGACAAGATATTTTTCCTGATAAAACTAGAAGCTCTTTTTAAAAATGGAAATAAAGTTATTTATCCAAACATGTTTTTATACACAAAAAAAAAACATAATAATGCATATTATCATTATTAGTGGAAGACTCATACTAAAGTATTTACTTGATAATAAGGGTGAGGTGTTCAAAGTTTTTTTAATGAATTAAGAATTTAGTCTGTTAACAGACTTGATTTAGTCTGACTTATTATGTTTTATTAATTTTGATAATATTTTACACATTTAAATCTTATTAAAACTAAGTATTATTTCTAAGTAACATATTTAAAAAAGTTGAACATTTTATTAAAATGGTCAACTTAAAATAAATATAAATTCGATAAAAATAACCTGAATAAATCGAATTTACCCTGAGATATTTGTATATTGTATACAATTTGATATAATATCTAAGTTTTAAATTATTCTCAATAAAAATAGGTTATAAAATATAACTTTATTAAAATATTTGTTAAACCATATGCATGCATTCTATTAAGTTTTCCTTGCCTTTCTATTACGGCAAACTATTTTTGTAATGGCTAGTTATTGAGACAATAATTTTTAATGTGCCACTTCCTCAACATTGTCAAAACAACGTTTTATTAACGTTGGCAAAGTAACACTTTTTCAACGTTTTTTAATTACTACACTTTCAACGTTGGTATATGTAACGTTGAATGAGCGTTGTTTTATAAATAACTTAAATACGTTAAAAAAGCAGCTGATGTCTAACGTTGATAAACCATAAACTTTGCGACGTTTTTAGAGTGATTATTTTCCGACTTTTGTTCAACGTTGAATTAACGCAATTTTTTGAGAAGATAAGATACGTTTAAATTTATACGCTTATTCAACGTTAATAATGTAACGTTTAAAAAGCGGTTTGTTTTTAACGTTAATAAAGCATATGCTTTAAAACGTTTTTAAAGTGGCTTTTTGCGTAAGTTGATTCCACGTTGAATAAACGTTATATTTTGAGAAGCTAAATTACGTTACAATTTCAACGTTTATTCAACGTTTCAATTTACCGCGATTTAGTATACAAAAAAAGACATTTATTCACGTTGAAAGCACGTTGTTTTTGTGACTGTAATGCTTTTTCTACGCTGCGACTGGTTTTCAACGTTGACTCAAATGTTTGCTGGGTAGTGGTGGAGATATGTAGCTTTCCTTACTACATATCCACTAGTGGTGGAGATATGTAGTTTTCCTTACTACATATCCACTAGTGGTGGAGATATGTAGTTTTCCTTCAACTTACAACTTTTCCGTTGTAAGTTCAAGCGCAAAAATATTTCATGACTACTTTGCTTTATCGAAGCAATCATGAATTATTTTTGTACTTGAACTTACAACGGCTACAATGTTTACTTCTTGATGTTAGATGATTTCTTCAAAATCTTAAAATTCTTTATTTTTGTATTCACGAGTGCTTATGTGGTAACGATTACATTAATTGCAAATTTTTGAATAGTTATGTATTTTTGCTAATTTATTTTACATATTTTCCTAACTTGAACAATTTCTTATTTTTAAAAGTATTTTAAAGTTTTAAAGCGGTGAACAGACGTGTTTATTTTTGATCGAAGAAAATTTTTAATTTTGATTTTGATTTTTTTTTTTTTAATTTTTTTTTTATTTTATTTTTATTTTTTATCTTTTATTAAGTATGGCATTAACCGTTTGTGAAATTTGAACAATGTTTAAGGAAATGTTTGCGGAGTACAAAAAAGATATGAAATTACTTATAAAACAACAAGTAGAAAATATGCTTAAACTCATCAGTGCGAACGCAAAAATAACGAGCGACCGACAACAAAAAGCTGAAACAAACATTAATTACAGCATGGAAAAAATTAAATGATTGGAAAAGGATGTACTTGATATAAAGAAAAGTTTAAAATTTCACGAGGAACTCATCGAAAAAAAGGTCAAAAATAATATTGAGTCTATTGAAAAAAAAAGAGTTTGTCAAAACGAAGCACATAAAAGCGATAAGTTTATTGACTTTAAAAAAAAAACTAGACAAATTGAGGATCGGTCACGAAGAAATAACCTTAAGATTGATGGCATCAAAGAAAATGAAAATGAAACGTGGTCTGAAAGTAAAATAAAAGTGATTAAACATTTTGAAAGGTCTTTAGGAGTGGAAAATGTGAGAATTGAACGAGCGCATCGCAGTGGACGCCGAGACGCAAAAACACCACGCACAATTATTATTAAGCGGTTAGATTACAAAGATAAAGTAGAAAATTTAAAAAATTCTTCTAAATTAAAGGGTAAAAATATCTGCATAAACGAAGATTTTTGCTTCGAAACGAACTTAATTAGAAAAGATCTTAGAGAAAAAATGAAAATTGAGCGGCAACTGGGTAAATTTGCACTTATATCATACGATAAGCTGATTGTACGCGAATGGGTGTCTTAGAAAACAGAAGAAGTTCCGAATCGGTGTCAAAATATTAAGGGTTAGGGTTTATTAGTATTCTTTTAACTATTGATAACTATTTTATTAACTATTTTACGTTTATCTATATATGCTTTACTTTAAAATGGATGAAAACTTTATAATTAAATTTTTAGATGAAAATCTCGTACTAAGTGACGTCGATGACAATAATATTTTTAATCATAAAATATCTGAAAGCCAATACTATGCAGTTATTGAATCTTCTCAATATCTTCAAAAAAATAAAAATAGTTTTTCAATTTTAAACATTAATATCCGTTTAAATAAATAATTTGAAAATCTTAAATTTTTATTGGATGAATTAAAACATAATTTTAAAATTATTTGTCTTACGGAAACTTGGCGTAAGTGTGGTGAAGCAAATGCGCAATTTGAACTAATTAATTACAAATCAATTTATCAACACGTCATTTTGGTATTGGTGGGGGCGTAAGTATTTTTATCCACAACTCAATTAATTATAATTTACGTAATGATCTCTGTGTGAATGAAATAGATTGTGAGTCATTATGCATTGAATTAATAAATAAAACCACAAAAAAAGTAATTATAAATACCACTTATAGACATCCATCTACTAGCTTAAAAAAATTTAAAACTCTTCTTAAACCATTCTTAACAAGTATAAATAAAACCCGAAGTCATGCCTACTTAGTTGGGGATGTTAACATTGACCTAAAAAACCATGCTTCCAATAATAATGTTAACAACTTTGTAAACACTCTTCTTCAAAATAATTTAATTCCGACAATAAACAAACCAACGAGAGTGACTAACAACTCTTCTACGCTTCATGATATTATAATAACTAATAACTATCATTATAACCATCTTTACACAGGCATAATCAAAACTGACTTATCGGATCATTTCCCAACATTCCTAGTTACTAACAATATATTATTTAACGGTGTTCCTTCTCAATCCATTACATTTAGGCGACAGATCAATGAAAACTCGGTAAAACAATTTCAAAATCTTTTAAGAGACAACGTTGATTGGGATCTGGTATTGCAGTCATATGACGTTAAAAACGCATATGATCTATTTTTAAATCAATTCTGTAAGCAATATGATCAAGCGTTTCCTAAAAAAAAAATTATTGTAAAAACCAAAACTGTTTTAACTCCATGGATGTCTAACGGGTTAATAAAACCTTCAAAAAGAAAACAAAAGTTATATGATAAGTACTTGAAAAAAAAAACTTATATAAACGAAATGACATATAAAAGTTATAAAAATATATTTAAAAAAACAAAAAGGAACTCAAAAAAGCTTTATTATGCAAAACTATTAAGTAAAGCCACAGGAAACGCTAAAAAAACATGGAGTGTAATTAAAGAATTAATTGGAAAAAATAATTATCTAAGAAACATTCTTCCAAAAAAAATAACAATTGATAAAAACACAATTTATGATAAATCAATTATTGCTGAAAAACTAAACAGCTTCTTTACTAATGCTGGTCCGAATTTGGCATTAAAAATTCCTATGAATTCAACACCATTTGAATTTTTAAAAAAAAATTACGATAAAGTTATGGATGAACCTAAGTTAAAACTAATTGAATTGCAAATCATCTTTTTTTACCTTAAAACTAACAAAAGTGCTGGATTTGATAATATTAACGTCAATGTTGTAAAATCAGTATATAATATAATAGAACCCTCGTTATTTCACATATTTAATCTATCATTTAAAACAGGTAATGTCCCTGAAAGCTAAAAACTGCACGAATCACGCCAATATTTAAGTCCGGAGATGACTCAAATATTTCTTATAATTGGCCTATATATATTTTACCTTGTTTTTCAAATTTACTTCAGAGAATAATGTACAATAAGATTTTTAATTACTTATCAGAAAACGACATGTTGTATTCAAAACAATTTGGTTTCAAAAAAAAAAATTCAACGGAACATGCAGTGGTTGAACTAGTAAATCAAATATCAAATGCATTCAGTAGTAACTACTTTACCTTAGAAGTTTTCATTGATCTGTCAAAAGCTATCGATACCGTTAATCATAACATACTAATAAAAAAAAATTGAACACTATAGAGTAAGAAATAACAAATTACCTAGGTTCAAAAGTTATTTGACCGATAGAAAACAATTTATAGTGTGTGAACAAAAGCAAACATTGCTGTCTACTATAACTTGTGGGGTTCCCCAAGGCTCTATTTTAGGACCTCTGTTGTTCCTAGTGTACATTAATGATTTAAATTTAGCAACAGACCTATTAAATTGTATTTTTTTTGCAGATGATTCCAATCTTTTTTATTCCCACAGAGATATCAATACATTATTTAGAACAACAAACGAACAATTATCGAAAGTTAATGAGTGGTTTAAAAGTAATAAACTTTCTCTGAATGTGGATAAAACCAAATTTATTTTGTTCCACAAAATGAATAATTCAAAAAATATTCCCATCAAATTGCCTAATTTAATAATCAATAACACTAACATTAAAAGAGAAAACTCAGTAAACTTTCTAGGCGTAATCTTAGACGAACATTTACATTAGAATTTACACAAAAAAAGTATTGAAAATAAAACATCAAAATATTTAGCAATAATATATAGGACTAAACCATTTCTAAACTATAATTCTTTAAAAAGTTTATATTTCTCTTTTATTTATTGTTACTTAATCTATTGTAATATTGCATGGGCAAGTACAAACCATACAAAATTAAAAAAATTGTACTGCAAACAAAAACACGCGTGCAGAACAATATTTTTAGCTGACAGAACTGTACCTTGTGAGCCTCTTCTGCGTATATTTGGAGCACTAAATATATATAAAATCAACTTACACCAAGTTTTAATGTTCATGTATAAAACAAATATAGGATTATCTCCTAAAATATTTCAATCCTATTTAGACAAAATAGTTAATAAATATCCAACAAAATTTTCAAATAACAACTTTGTTGTCCCAAAATATAATTCAAAACTAACTTCATATTCAGTTATTTATAGTGGACCTTACTTGTGGAAAATTTTTCCCAAGATTGTAAATACACATAAAACTAGTATAGAACAATTTAAAAATGAATCAAAACAGGCATTCTTACTCATGGATTTTAATATACCTGATTTTAAATGTTTTTTTTAACTAAAACTCAAATACAAAAAATTTTTAATACAAAAATTATGTCACTGAGTGTATCAATATTATTTTTTCATTACCTTAATTATGGTATTACCTATATGGCGTTTGCTACTTTATTTACGTTATTT